CTCCTGGCCCCGCGCCGAGCCGCACAACGAACAACACACACTGTGCCTACACGCAGTCCTGCTCGCTCCTCTGGCTCTCTCTGCTCAGAGCAACCACGTCTGTTCGCTGCCGTGGTTGCCTCGGTGGAAGTTGTCCAGCATTTGCCGTGCTTGGCAAAGTTTTTCTGGCGAACGGCTTCTGTGCTGAACGGCTTGTGAACCTCCGAATGCGCTGAGCGGGCCTCTCTGGTGTAAGGTTTAGACTCTTCCCCTCTGCAGCATCACTCGGGATATCTCGGGAAGAGCTGACTTGCTGTGGTCATCCTGGAACTCAGCTGGTGGCGCTCGATTCAGACTTTTCCCAGCTTATCCATTCACAGAGGCTTCTTCCCAACAGTATCTCCCGTTGTCATGCCCCGTGGGATTTTTTATTTTTTGTATTTGCCGTTTGTAGACTTCCTGGTAGGATATCGGCATGAGCAGATGGCAGTGAGGAGTACCTGAGCATGTTTTTCTCACAAGCTTGTAGAGATCATTTAAAAGTAGTCTATGATCCGACAAGAAATTACAGAGCAGGGTGTAAAAACCACGTTATTACAAAGAAATAAAAATTCCTAAACCTATAGGGCAAAACACACAACCTTGTCCTTGAAATCCACATTGCAGGCAAAGGAAAGTCTCTCTTCTGTTGCGTGGGTCTGCTTTGTTTCTTTAGGCAGGGCAGCATTGTGTCCCTGCCCTAACCCCTGGCTGGGCCCAGAAGTCATAAAGATTACTATTCTGTAGCCCAGGGTGAAGGGATGAGACGTGGCTGCGTGCTTCTGTGCTGTGAAGAAGCAGAGCCCTGGCAGTGTCTTTGACGAGGTTCACGTCTTTGATGTCCTTGGGCTGAGCAGGGCCGGCTGTGTGGCAGTGTGGGTGGCAGCATGGCCAGGTGGTCTCTGCAGGGGTCCATGGAATGGCTGCTGGCACCGGGGACAAGGCTCCTGCTCCCTGCAGGACCGAGGAGCCTGGTGCAGGGGGAGGGTGTGCAAGGCTGCACGCACACACTGCATACAGGAACACCAGGAGCTGTGAACGTGGGTGGGGAAAGGATGTGGAAGTGCAGGAATGGCCCTCACGTCCCAGTGCTGCTGAGAATGGCTGATTGGTGTGGACAGGTGGGAGTGAGAGTGAAGAGAACCTTTGCTTTGCCGTGACAGCACCAGAGAAAGCCACACAATGGACACATGCTCCTGACAGTTTTGCTAAGGCTTGGAGAGCCCCATTGCCAGCCCCGGCACCCACACAGCTCCATCAACCAACATCAAGTTTGACTTGAGTCTTCCTCTGCTGCTCATTTGCTGTTTTCTTCCTCCTCCCTCCAGTGCCCGCCTTTCCAACCCCCATCCCAAGCCCTGCTCTTCCCCTTGCTGGGTGCCAGGCCATGGCATTCCAAGTGTGGCTGGCAACTCTCCTGGAGGGGACAGCCCCTGGCAGCCATGGGACATGCAGAGACAGGCAGACACTGCCAGCCTCAGGACATCTCTGGTCCTCTCCCCTCCTTCCTTCTGTCCAGACAGCCCTGACACTTTTGACCTCTCTCAGGGACACCCAGACTGTGCCTCTTTCTGCTCACAGGTCTTTACCTTCCCTCCCCATCCCCTCCAGGGAAAGGTAAAACAACAGCTTCTCAACAGGACACAAAAGCACATTGTTAAGAAGGTGTGAGAGCTTGGGAGAAAGAGGAAACAGCCTGGAGAAGAGAAATATTCAAGTACTTGGAAAAATGAAGGAGAGACTTAAAGGATAAAAAACAGGAAAGAAAAGAAGGAAGAAAGCTACGGAGGGCTGAAAGGGAATGAGGACAAAAGCACAGGATTGGAGGAGGACATGGCGCAGTAGGAGAGCAGAGGAACAGCACTGCTACAGTAGCAAATGCAGCCATTTCAATGAGGAGAATGGGGCAGAGGTGTCTCTTGTGCCCCACCCTGGCCCGGTGCTTCTCAATCCACGGCTGTTTGCACTCCTCCAAGATCCCCAAGGTGCTATGCCGAGTGGAGCTGTCCCTGGGGGAGGTCCCAGCAGGGACCCCCTGTGGCACTGTCCTCCCTGTGCTCACACAGCAGCGGGGCCATCCGTGGGAAGGGTTTGGCCAGGATGTGCTCGGTGCTGCTGGAGAGAGACCAGTGCAGCAGGGGCATGGGGTGACTCCCTGAGCTGGCGTGACCCCAGCACAGCTTGGTCTGATCTGCACAGAGTCGAATGCCTGTGACACAAGCATGGCTTTGACCTTCTTGCTGGGCAGGGCAAATGCACCCTCTGCAGCAGGAACACGTTCTTTCCCCCCGGGTTTTGTGTCTTTTGAAAAATATATCCATTTTCCCCAAGTACTTTGACGCTTCTCAAACAGATGCTACAGGCCAAGAACTAATTCTGTCTCCTCCCACCAGTCACTTGCTCTGAACCACAAAACAGTGCCAGTCTTCTCTCATCTACCCTGTTCCAAGCTGCCATTTCCCCTTGGGAAGCCACAGCAAGAAAAGGGGATTAATTGCCAGGCCACCATGCCCTCAGACCAACCAGCTGCCTTTACACCCATGGAAGATCCAAGAGAAATCTCGGCTGACATCTCTTGAAATATGCATGCACTGACTCCACCATCTCTCCCAGAGTCTCTCCTTGCCTTGTGTCCAAGTGATAAAAACAGGACTACAGCATGCCCCACACTTCCCCCCTCCAAAATCCACACCCCTAGAAATCCTTCCCCCCCACCACTATTTCCCCCAGACAAGATACACAGCTGAGACATAGGAAGGAGAGCAGGGAAGCTGGGGGACAGTGCACTGTGCACAAACAGACCAAGGATGGGGATACTCTGGGAGGGCTGGGGGGGTGCCCTGTCCCTATCTGGCACACAGGGAGGCACACGCACGCCGCACACACTCACACTCGCAGCCTCTCACTCCCACGTGCTGCAGAGACAGGCCCGTGGCTGAGTCAGGGGTAGTAGCAGGGGTGGGTTGTCTGGCCAGAGTCACCAGTGACCATGGAGGGGGAGGCTCTTTCACAGATTACTTTCGTGGTTTTCCTCTGTCTCCACAGCCATGGGGGGCAGCCCTCCGTTGTCATTCAGCCGTTTGGCTCTGTAGGTCTCATAGTGGATGTTGTGGGTCACTTCTTTTAGGTCCTGAAGGTGGGTCCTGCAGGGGACAAAGTGGGTTGGGAAAGAGGATATGATAGACAATATCAGCACAGTAAGTATTATTCTTCTGATGATAATTTTATTCCCCAAATAGATGGAAGATTTTTTTCAGTCAGTCAGTTTAGCTAATTATTGTTGCCCCTCTTTCTGCATGGATAGCATGGGTGCCATCATACACAACTGAGAGCTAGAGCATCAGCATTTGAGAACACACAGACAGGATGCAGGACATGTGCTGCAGTTCCTGGCTGTGCTTGCCAGTGCTCTGGCCTTCTCTCACCTGTGCAACTGGCCCAGCCACTGGCCCTCCTGGTGTGTCAGAGCAGACTGGGGCTTATCTGAAGCAGTGGTGAGGCAAGGAAGCAACAGGAGGTGTATCAGGTTCACTGCAGATCATAAGCTGCAGAACGCTGCTGTGAGCATCATCCCTGACCTCCACTCACAGCCTGGGGGCTTGGATTGTTACAGGCTTTGTGATGATCATTTGGGTAGGATGTTTTTACTGAAAGACTTTGGAAAACCACCTCTGCTGCAGAAGGTATTACAAAACAAAAAGAGGAAAGTAGGGTGATGTCAAAGCATTGTACCTGGCCAAATGTCTCAATTGCACCATACCCACAAGTGGAATTAGCCACAGGGCTTTGATTTTGAACTGTGTTTCTCTTTTTATAGGGAAGAGAGGTCACCCTCAATCTACAGCTCTCCTGCAGAATTTGTGCTGAGGCAGCTTCATGAAACAGACTAGAAATAAGGCAGGACAATGAAAGCTATTGAAATATGAAGATTTTCCCTTCCAGCTCAGATGTTCCAGCACATCCTTCAACCTGGAAGGAAACACAGTCTAGCACGTGGTAGTGACCTCTTTATTACTGACCTGTTGTCAGCAGCAAATAAAAGTTTTTGCAACCAGAAGGGATTTTTTTTTAAACTCCCTTAATGGGAGTTTTTGCAACCTTGAGAGGGGTGGTAGTATCCTGCTTTTCTCCAGGCATCCAGCTCATACATGAAAACTAGCACCTACCTGACACAGTGTCACTAAGAGAGGGACTAGAATATCTACCCCTTAACTCAATCCAACCCTATACTACATAAGCTTTCCCTGCCTGAAATTTACTTTATTTCCCTTTTAGTAGGGGCTATTTAATTCTGACTGGATCTCAGGAAGACTCCCAACTCGTCAAGAGCAAACTGGTGCATGACCATGACCTTACCTGATGACAAAATCTCGAAGTAGGGCAAATTCACAGTGATTGAGGTTTTCCACTGAAAAGAAAGCAAGCAATTGTTACATTTGATTTTTTCAACAGCCCCTTTGTGGACACAGAGCATGGGAAAGTCACTTCCATGGGGACAGGTTCCAAGTGGGTAGAGCTTGCATACTTCAGAAAGGACAGACAGTTGTCTGAACGTCACACTGTCGAGCATTGGGGAGACACACTAAGAGCAGTCACACATGAATTTTCATTTGAAAACCAAGACAACCTCAGGAGCTTAGCTTCACACATCATGGTGTTCAGAGTGGCTCCAGCTTCTGCCAGGTGGTGACAGTGGCACCATATTGACCATGGCAGTTCCCTCCTGGCACAGGTATTTGAGAATTCTCCTTTTGGCTGGTTTCAAGCAGTTTGTCACAAATGGGATGGGAAGGTAGCCACAGGACATGCTATCTGGCCCCTTGTCTATTACTGTGATCTGCAGGCAATACTTTCAGCTCCCATAAGCAAGAAGTTTTTTACCTTCAATGATTCCCCAAGGTGTTTTCCTGCCCAGGACTCTTTTGCCATTCACTTGGTACTCCTTGTCACTGCCCACTACTGCAAAGGGCATGCTTTCCTGCTGGGGAGAGACACGTGGAAAGATCCATTGAACCCATTCCAGAGACCAGTACCACCATGGTTCCCCATCCACCTTTCCACCTCTCAGTTCAACAAACACAAGGCCTTCTCCAAGGGAAGAGATCCTCCAGAGCAAAACTTCACTGGCTGTCCTTTTCACCCCTCAGTGCTCTCCCTAGAATTCTGGACTCTTGCTTTCCAGGTGTTCTTGCACTCCAACAAGCTGTGTGGGTAGCTTGCAGCAGTGCCAAGGGCTCCGGAGTTGGGGCAGAGCTTTTCTGCACCTATCTCCAGCATTTCTGAGGAGGGGGATCACCAGAGAAGTACCTTAGCATAACCAACAGAGGGTCTGTCAGCCCAGAGCTGCTTCTATGGATAGTTGAAGGTGAGTATTTCTTGACAGATTTTTAGTCCTTTACAATAGAAAGATGGGACTCAAATAATCCTTCCCCATAAGCCCCATGAACATTCATCAAGTTTAATGGCTGAAATTGTACTGAGGAAAGCCAGAAATGGAGTAAGTGTGCAGCCTTCCAGGGAAGTAGGACAGTAGGTGAAGCTATTGGGGACCCAGATATCTCTAAGCACAGGGAGAAACTATCTGTTTCCAGAGCACAGAATGCAGGAGACTCTGCAATCCATTGGGTTGTGCAACTGTTCACTGCTGCTTTACTCTGCTTTACATTACAGATATCCCTGCAAAGAGACTGCAATTACCACAGAAATGGAGATTAAAAAGCAGTTTATTTCTTATGTGTGAGGGCAATAATGCTGAAGTGCAGAACAAAATGTGGTGCCCTCCTCATCCACCCTTCCCCTCCCACAATAAAATGTTTCCTACCCTGATTTTGTCGTTCTCTGTTTTATCCTCCAAGTCCTCATCAAATTCTTTCTGGGGATAAAACTCGATCCCATTTACTTCTAGTTCCTTGCGCACCTAATCAGAAAGACATTTTGGAGCACAAAGCAGCACAAACCTGAAGGGAAGGCAGTTGGCAAGGCCAGGCAAACACATCTGGGACATCCTTCCAGGGGGCAGAAGCTGGAGGGATTGTCCCAAGGAAGTGCACAGTAAAGCGAGAACACAAGGCAGCAATGATGAGTCTGTTTCCCAACCTCAGTTACTTGTCTGGCTCTCCAGTTCCCATGACAGAACATATCACAAGACATCACAAGGATACACACATTTCTTCCTTCTCTAACAGATGCCCTCAGAGATATAAACAGCAGCATCTTTAGGACTTAACCCAGCAACCCAGCACTGGACTCTGTGCACACCCTGGGGACTGCACTGCAATCCCAGGAAGAAGGATACCACTCATTTCTCCCACCTCCAAGCCAGGGCAGGGAAGGATCCTATCCAGAAGAGGAGATACTCACTCTTTGTTTGAATTCAGTCTTCTCCTCCAAGGTCATGGTGTCAGCCTTAGCAATAACTGGGATGATGTTCACTACCTTGCTGAGATGTTTCATGAACTCCAGGTCCAAAGGCCGCAAGCTGCAGCCCAAGAAGGAACAAGATGGAAGGGGTCACTTTTTACCCTCCCAGACTGTCATCCTAATGACTGTCCAAGCACCAGGGCACAAGTGAACCCTCCCTTGTACATACCCTGCTTGCTGCCACCATGTTCTCATCTCCTTCTTCCCATCCATTCTGCCCTCTCCCAAAAACCACAGTGGCATTTCTCCCGCTCTTGTAAGCTTAGACCCTTTCAAGCCCCACAGCTCCCAAAGTTAGGCTAAACAGTGCCCAGTCCTGCTGGATCCATGTCTGAGGTGCAGCAGTGTAGGGTGCATATCTGGCACAGAGGTACCAAGGGCTGGAGGAAGGACAAGGGACAGTGTACATACGAGTGCCCTGTAGGGGAGATGAAGTAGAGGCAGCAGTGCACGCGCGTGTCTGGAATTCGTTTCTTCCTTGCAATATTCACCTCCTCTTTCAAAAACTTTTCATATTGCTCGTTGATGTATTTCTCAATAGGCTCCCAGCTGTTAAAGTGGGAAAGAGAGATGAATGGACTGGTACAAATCTCCTCGTGTTCCTGCCCACAGTGTTCCCAGCTCTGTCAGGAGCAAAGCAGTCTCAGGCATAAAAAAAAAAAATCCACCCGAAGCATCTCGCCATCAGCACAGATGATTAAGAGTTTCTGTAACTGGTCACAGATATAAGCACTCACCATGTAATATGTGCATACCCCCAGTCACACACACAGACCCATGGTTTCACAGTTCCACAGCCCCATTATTAGTCCCCAAGTGCAATAGGATCCCAGATGCTTTCAAGGGCCAAGCAGATGACAGTCACTCATATACCATCTTAACTTCATCCCTTTCTGGGACACAAGGCCTTGACCTTTTAAAACTCACCAGTTCTCATTGTTGATCTGGTCTCCAAATCCTGGTGTGTCAATCACTGTCAGCTTCATTTTGACACCACCTTCTTCAATGACTGGGGAGAAAATTGCAAACAATCATACTCCTCCCTGGGGACCTGCTCTGTCATGAAACATGTCTTTGTGTCCCACAAGGGAACAAGAGAGCTGTGCCCTCGTCCCTGCCCAGCAAGCATAACCAGACCAGCTTGTGTCATGCCTCAACAGTTGTGACCCTCATTTCCATGTCTGACCCCAAATTTTGGTAATATCTGCACAAAAGCCACCTTACACCACTCTGTCACAGGAAAATGGATTTGTGCTCAGTCTGTGGCCCAAAGGTAGTATCTACCCTAACACAACTTCTCCCCTCTAATGCATCATCCTGAATCTGAGATGATGCTCATTACCCTGCACCACCACAGGAGTTGTTCTGATGCTTTATGAGGAGCTGTGCACTACCAGGCTTGGGATGGGACCCAACAATGCAACTTGTGTAGCTTATCAAATGCTACTGCAGGTGAACATGACTTACAGCAAGGCTTAATCCACAACTGCAGACTAATGTCTTAGGTGATGAAGTCTCTCTATTTGTCTACCCCTCACTTTTGGCTGTGGCATCTGGGGCTTTTCAGTTTAAGAAAAGCCTTTTCTGTCTCTGAGGCCATCTAAAACTGTCCTTTAGCTTCCTATGGAGAAAGAGCTGCCTAATACCAAAGAACTCTTTGCACAGACTGCTGGGATCTTCTGCAAGACTATGCTGAGGCATCAGTATTGCTTCCACCCCAGCAGCCTGGCTCTTACCGTGCCCAATGGCTTTGATCTCCACTGTCTTGGGGATCTTCTCCTCCCGGTTCCAGCCTGAAGATTTGCGGCTCACCTGGGATTTGAAGAGGGTGTTTACCAGCGTTGACTTTCCCAGTCCACTCTGACCTGAGGATTGCAGAGAGGAAGCTTGTGACATTTGCCACAGCCTGGTGATGACAGCAGGCCCAAGGAACACAGCCAGGCTGGCAGGGGAAAGGGCTGGAGGTCTCCTTGTCTTGTGCAGGCTCTGTTTTTCCTCAGAGCAACTTCTGCCTGCTCCCTCATGCCCTCCCAGCAGGGCTTGCTCTCCCACCTGGCCTCAGTCCCTGGGACAGTCCCTGGCCATGGTTCCCAGTTCCTCAGCTGGTCTCTGCCTACCTACAACCATGATGTTGAAGTCGAAACCTGTCTTCATGGTTTTCTTGCGCATCTGCTCAATGATGGTGTCGATACCGATGTAGCCCAGCAAGCTGGTGTTGATGCCCATGGGCTTCATTGGTACGACTGGCTTTTGTCGTGGCTCTGGCACCAGCTCAGACATGGCTGCTTCGTTTTTGCTGTCCACTGGTCCTGCATGGGGACAAAGATTGAAAAATCATCATGGAGGTGTAACAACAGCCTCCTTGCTTATCTGTCACAGGGGCTGAGGGCAGCACTGAGCATTCTTTTCAAGGGCTACTGAGGATAAGTGAATGTCAAGATTTTAGTGGTAAGGCTCATCATGGAGAAACATCTACTTGAGTTTCCAGCACACTCTTCTGTGTCCCACTCCAGATGAGGAGGTGAAGGGGGTTTCATTGAGAATGTAGTGTATTGATGGCTCCCTCCAAACAGCAGGAGCAGGGGCAGCAAGGATGGCTGGGCTGATAATCAAGTGCTCAAAGTTCCAGGTGTGTCTCCTTATTTTTGTCTCCTGGTTCTCAACAGGATCATCAGTGTTTTGGCCCTCCAAGTTCACCATAAAATTTGTGATGGAACAGACTTAAAAAAATTATGTGTCAAGTCCTGGCACTGAAACCGAGTTTGGGATGTACCAGGAGGACTTTCACACTTGGCCCTTGCCAGGGGTGGCCGCATTACTGGCTGTGGTGCACAGGCTGAATTCCTCAGAGGAAGACAGTGATGGAAGTGAAAGCCTGGCCATAATCTCTGTGCTTGCCTCCCACCCATAGACCAATGGTTTTTGTCATACTCAAGAAACTAATCATCATGATCAGAAAATTAATTATCTGCATCTTTCCCTCCTCATCTCTGCTTCCTCACTTCTTCCATGTAAAACAAACGGGTGAAAAGAAAACCCTGAGGGCTTTCCAGCCTCCCTGACCCTTTTTTGGGTGATGGCACACATTGCTAGGGGCAGTCCTTGCCCATTTATCTCTATCTCATTAATGAGTAGCTCCCACCCGCTGGGAGGAAGCGGAGGTTGGGAGAGGACAGGGCATGGAAAAAAAGCTCTAATTGGTGGGGAAGGCAGGCATGAGGGATGAATCTGGAAAGGAAGATGAAGGGGATAGGAATCAAATACCTTTCATATACAAGCCAGCTGCAAACTAGAGGTTCTCCCACTCTAATTACTTGACTCCCCCATGCTTTGTCTCATTAGAGGGTTATTTTTCCAGGATAGAGACAGAATGCATTTTTGCTTGGTAAGTACTTCATTTGTTTTGGATGCCACTTCAATTCAAGTATCTCACACTAAATTATCCCTTTCCATCATGTTGGCAGAGGGTTTTTTCTCCACTTATCAGAATCCACTGGCAGCAGAAAAGAACATGAGCGGCTAGGCAGGCAACTGCCATTTGGTGGTGACACATGCCCCTCTTCACAAGGAAAATGACTCAGAAGTCACTGGACTGGTGAGATTGATGGCACCAATCTGGGGTTCCTGTCACAGCTTAGTCAAGCCAGAGACAGACTGAGAAGAGGTCAGAGAGATTTTGTTCAAGGACAGGGTTATGCTGGAGCAGGCTCCATGGCTGAATTGGGACCCTGCCTGGCACTCCCACATAAAAGCTCCAGTGCTGACACAAGGCCTGCTCTACACAGTGAAGATTTTACATTTTTTATAAGCTGCAATATTCCACTGTCACGTGCTAAGGAAAGACATTGTGGAAGGGTCACCCTTGACAGGGGGAAGGGTGCCTCCACCCAGCTCCTTTTCACCACTTGGGAAGTCTTGTATATTAAACTGGGAGAAGGAGTTTTCCCCTGTGTGAGATGATGGTAGCACAGCCACTCATGTACAGCACTGTGGGTAACATCTGAAGGCTCTTGTGCCACCTCTGTTCCACCTTGCCCACACAGGAGAGGTCAGTGGCAGGTGGCAGGCCCTCCTGCTTTTCCCCACCGAGTGAAGGCGCCCTGGACTATCATCAGCCTCTCCTGAAGCAGCGAGCAGCACCCTGGGGCAACCAGAGCACAAGATGGACCATTGGCTTGAGTCAGACTGGCAATTTGGAGCACCTCACGCTGCCAGGCAGCTGCTGGAGGAGGCAGCCTGCCACACCAAGTGCTTCTCAGCTGCAATCCTCTCTCACAGCCATCACAACTAGTATGTGCCTTTCCTGCTGACGAAGCATCCCTTGAGGCTCCCGTTGTCTTTTTTCAGATTTATCAAAACTGATGTGAGCCAGGAAAGTCCATCTCTCTGGTACAGCACAGGGGGCCAGGCCAGCCAGTTCTCCCGCACCCTACCCTTTACTTGCTCTCTGCCAGGCTGCCCACATCACCTATATCCTGTATCATGGTTGTGTGGCTGTGCTGTGTCCCTTTTGCTGCTGCAGCGTTCCCCACATACACCCCACACAGCCCTGCTGGGCTCCTACCTAGCCCTAAGAGTGGGAGAAGAGAGAGAAACAGAACAATGAGGGAATTAGGGACAGGGGGCTGTGGCCCCAGTGAGGCACTTGGCTACTGGAGAAATGGGGGCAAATAAACTCCAAAGGTAGAAGGGAACAGGTCAAGATGGGAAGAAAGCCCAGCTGAGCAGCTGCATGGGATGGGTGCAGAATAGGGGCCATGTGGGCTGTGACCCTTTCATTGCCTGGGTGGTAGCTTGTCCTCAGGGAATCTGTTGCTCTCTCCTTTATTCCTTCAGCCCTTGTTCTTACACAGGGAAGAGGAAGGAGGGAATTTGCTGTCAGCCTCAAGGCTCACTAAGAGGTTCATAATTCATCCCTCAATCTCACCAAGGAAAGCCTTGCCCAGAGCCAGGAGATGTTGCTAACTGCTGTGGACATCATAATACAAGCTTCAGTGTTGGAGCCAGGAGCTTGCAGTGACCAGGGCAGATATTTCAGATTCAGGTTCTTGGGCAGCTATAGAAAACCCTGAGACCAGGAGAAAGCCACCTGCTTTTCTCCTCTAGGTCACTTGCCTTCTTCTCTGTGTGAGGTTCCTTCCCATACAGCCTCAGGCAGGGAAGCCCCCATTTTGCAGAAATTTGCCCAGAGTTCATCTTTCTGCACATGACTTTTCACCTTTTGCCTCCCACAGATGAATTCAACTAGCCCGCTGAGGAACAGCCTGCTGGGCTGTGCAAAACCAGGACCAGAGCTGTCTCTGAGACATGAAACATGCCTGCCTGCTCTCCTGGGAGTGGCTCTGTTTTATGTGCACTAAAGCTAATGGTTCTAGCCCCATGAGCACACTGAGTGGCTGATCAAGGGGTGGCATTCCGTGTCCTGGGCACGTCCCATAGCCCTTGCACCTGTCCCCTGTAATGATTCAGTGAGAGGGCACTACAGCCAGTACAGCTGATAATGAATAGAGGGCTAGCCAAGGTTAACCACTTACATATGCTGTTTACAAGGCCCCCCTTTTCCCTGCTGCTTTGTTCTGTGTGCTAAGAGAAGCTCATTTAAGAGGGCTGTAGCTGGTGATGCCCCCCTGCTGCCCAGATCCGGTAGGAGGTGGCTCTGGGCTGGGCTGTTAGGGAATAATATCTGGCTCACAGGAGATGCTCCGTGTGACTGGATCAAGGGATGGCACAGCTTTTGAGGCAGGGACAGGCAGAACCACAATGAGTGCCCAGAGAGGTCCCCATGGTCCCAGGTAGCTCCTGCTTCTGACACCCACTGATCCACCCCAGAACCTCCTCCTGGAAGGCCGACATATATGGCCAGCAGCAGACACCACCACTGATCTACCACCCTTTGTGCTCTGATGTTCACAGGACCTGTGTGAGGACAGAGGTGGCCCTGCAGGTCCCTTGGGGGCTCAGGTAGTGGGGACCAACATCTACTATGTCCTGATAACCCAGATACAGTCGCATCCCCTCCCCCTGCCTTCCCATCCTTTGTCTGGCAAGAGGGAGGGAGAGCTGCAAACAGTGCTCACCACAAACCAGCTTCCAGCAAGGAAAAGCTATTTAACCCCCACGTAACACATGGATGGCCTTGCTGCAGCTCTCCTCTGGTGCAGCACAAGGCTGTCCCTCTGCAGCTGGAGGCAGTGGTCCTCACTCACATCTCACCCCAGCCCCTTCCACCCATACCGTTCTGGACCTCCTCCCTGTTCCATGTAGACAAGGAACAGGGAGGAGGAATGGGTTCAAAACCTGAAGGTGGCTGGCAGAAGCAGGCCCTCAAAGGGTGATGACAGGTTCCTAGGAAAGAAAGCAAGCAGCTGCTTCAGCAGTACAGCCTCCCTGGAGCTCATGGCCATCAGGACCCGCTCCTTGCTTTGCTCCTTGCTTTGATCCGCAGAGGTGCTGGACTGAGCATCTCTCCACTGGAAAAAATACCTTTCCCTCCTCAGTTCCTATGATGACCCCAGGGCATTTCTTTCAGCTGTGCAGTGCAATGGCTGAGCCCTGCCGGATGTACTGCCTGACCTCAGAGTACAGAACAGAACCATTCTCCTTACCAGATCTTTTTGCCTGGCTTGAAGATCACCCCAATCCTCTGGGCTGCTGCAGCCTTCCCGACAGCAGCCTTTCTTCCCCTCAGCACTCTGCAAAGGGCTTGGGCAAGAGCCCGGCTGCAGTGAAATCTAGGGCAGCGTGTGCTGAAGCCTCTCTGGAGATGCAGAAGCTGGAGGTGAAGGAGCTGGGCACATCCCAGCCCAGCCACCACAGCCCCAGCCATGCCCTTGGTGCTGCTCTCCAGCCATACAATCCTTGTCCCATGTCCCAGCTCACCCCCTGGGTGGCACAGCTGTATCACACGGCGAGAGGATGCTGAGCACCCCTGGACCATGGCAGCCACACCACCACAGCTGCCTGTGCCCCTGCCTGCAAGCCTGCTGGCTCCTGTGCTGATGCCCAGGGAGAGGCACAGCACATCCCCACTGCCTGTCACTGGCAAGGGACAAGCCAGGTGCCTGTGGCACTGCCCAGCTGGATTATCCCTTCTTTTCAAAGCAGTGCCTGGCACTACCTACTCCCCATCAGCACCACGACCAGCCCTGCTCCTTCTCCTTCATACAAGGAGAACAAACAGAGGAAAGACAAAGCCGAGACCGATTTCCCCCACTGCCCTCCGGGGTTATCCCTCCCCCATGCCCAGAGCTGGGCAGCGTGGGGGCACACAGAGGATGCCTGCGCAAAAAGCCCCAGCGGTGTCCCTCTGGCGTTGCCCAGCCCTGCCAAGCCCGGAACATCCTACCTTTGAACATGAAGCTTCCTTTGTCTCCGAATCCTCTCCCAAGGGGGTGGGTCTCCCCCCACTTTTCTAGCCTGACGCTGATGAAGCAGCACGGTGGGCGACAAAGCTCCACTTGCTTTTACCTTTGTCTTTCTTCCCTGTGTCCTCTTGTCCCCCCCTCTCTCCTTCCCTTCCTTCTCCAGTGGCTATTTCAGCAGAGCGGGGATGCTGGTGCTGCTCCTGCTGCCATCGTCATGTGACCTGAATATTAAACATCTCCGCAAAATCTCCCCCCGCGCACCCTCCCCCGGCTCCATCCCAGGCCCCCGGCTCCATCCCAGGCCCCCGGCAGCCTCCCTGACTTGCGGGGGGCCATGGCCTCGGGCTGGAGGGGCCGCTGTCGATGGGGCCCCCGTGTCCTGGAGGGGCTCTCACTGCACACCCGCACCCCCCAGGCCTTTTCTTGCCCTTTTCCCTCCCAATTCCCCAGCCTTTTCAGCATCTCTGCTTGTTTAGGGAGGGGCATATTTAACCCTTCACAGCTTACCTACGGCGGGGCTGAGAAAGGGCGCTCTTTGCCCCTAGGTATTTCGTAGGATCAGGGGATTGCAAAATCTCCTTCTGCTTTCCCAGAGGGAGGAAATTGAGAATGTTTTGGTTCATCGAAAGCGATTTGCCCTTCAGCTTTGCTGTGAAGGTGAGAGAAACCTTTTCTCCTCCAGCACCACGATTGCTGGCTGTCAGCCTAAGGCGCAGAGGCAGAGCCAGCGCTGTCCCCTCTGCGTGCGTGTGTGTGCAAACCTGTGTGTGCCTGTGTGCGGTGAGCAGGGACAGGTCCTCCCACTTGGACCATGTTGGGGTACACAGGTCACATCCCCCTGTGCTCTGGCAGGCAGCTCCATGTGCCCTGTGGATGTGGCTGTGCCTGGAGAGCCGTGTGGCTGCCTCTGGCTGCTGGTATCTTTGGAGGGGGATGCCCTTTCCCTGCTTTGCATGTCCCCCTACATCTGTCAGCCCTGGCCCCGACAGGCTCTGTGTCCCTGTCATGTTGTACTGGGGCACCGACATCTGGGAATGCTGTGACCTCCAGACAGGAGCACCCCGTGTTCCTCCACCACAAGACAACCCCCCTGGGCGGGGGCTAGGCTGTGGGATGCCTGGCAGACTTGGCAAGGGTTTGGGGTTCCTCTTTTTGCAGTGCTCTGGGACAAAAAGAAAACTGCACCCACTTCAGGTTTTGGGAACATTTAGAATTGCCAGCAGTTACCCCGGGCTAGGCTGAGCAGTGGACAGACTGGCTTTGGACAGACAGACAGACAGACAGGCAGGCAGGCATACCCAGAAAATCTGACACAGGGACCATCGTGTTGGCTATCTTCCTGCTGGGTGCCAGGCTCACAAGCACACGGGCTGTCCCCTCACCAGCTGCTGCCCACGCCTGATTCCTGCGTGGGTCAAGAGGAACTCACTCCAAGGGGAGGAAGCTCCTGTCCTCCCTCTCATCACCCTACCTCCCCTGAAGGGTCCTGCCCCATGCTGGGCTCATGTCATCGCCAAGGGACCCCTTGGTGCCTCCCTCCCTCCCTCTGCCCAGCCCATCCCGTCAGAGGAGACCCACCGGAGCGTGGTGGGGCGTAGGACAGCCCCATCTTCGCCACCGGAGTGGCCTCGGTCCCGTCAGAGCTGCGGTGTCGCTGGGGCCCCTCGATCGCCACGGGCCGGGGCCGCGGGGGGATCGGGGTGACCGAGGCCGGGCCCCGCAGCCGCTCCCAGGGCAGCCCCCCGGGCCCGGCCGCCCGGCGCAGCGTGACCGAGAGGCAGCTCCGCTTCGTGGGGGCGGCCACGGCCAGGGGCCCGTCCCGCCGCCGTGAGGGGCCCGGGATGCGGCTGGGGCCGCTGGGGCTTCCGGGGGCGGACAGGCAGCTGCGAGGGAGGGCGATCTCCTCCTCCATGGTCGGCTGCCGGCTGGAGGCGGAGGTGCGAGGGCTGGGCCCAGGCCGTCCCTGCTGTCAGGGCTGTGGTGTCTCGGGGTGCAGAGCTCCCTGGGGCTGCTGTCACCCACATGCTCGAGCCCTCACCTCCAGCCCTGTCCCGCCAGCCCGCCTCCAGCGGGACAATGGAGCTCTTGTGGCCCGCATGGCTCGCTCCCACGCTGGACGCCATGGCCACTCCTGCGAATGACCAGCACCTTCCTGACCTCCGCCACCAGCAGCCCCACAGCACGGACAGCTCCACAGCACGGGCAGCTCACTGCTCCCGTGGCAGGAGGTGCAGGAGTGATGCAGAGGTCAGGTCAGGCCTGTGCTGTCTGCTTCCAAGGACACTGGGTGTGATTAAAAAAAAAATTTGAATTTTTGAAATGTTTTTTCTTCTCTTAGTTTTTCCCCCTCAAATGGCATATTCCAGTGCAACAATTTATATCCCACTGCACAAGTTCAGTGGTCACTTTTTGGATGTTTGTCCAAGTTGTTGCTTTATTCCCTTATTCTGATCTTCTTTTGCTTCTTCCTTATCATCATTATTATGATTGTGTCTTAATTTTGCCAGCTTTGTGGCATTTTCAGGGTCAAGAGGGATTCAGCTTGCCACTTTACACCTTCCTCACTGTAAGAGGCTTTGAAGGGCAACACAACAAACAAGGAGGAAAGAAGAAAGGTGTTTTGGTGGGATGGGATGAGAATATGAATGGTTTGGTGGGCAAGTGGGAGCAAACAAAAGGAGAGACAGGCACCCACAGTACCTACAGTATGGCAGGGACAATGATTGCATGATCTCGGGTGACCAAGGCTGAGGAAGGAGATGAGGAATCATCATCCAATGACCCACATCAAGTCATTGGGAATGCTGGTGGAAGGCAGAGCTCAGGACAGTGTGAGTTCTCTGCTTCTTTAAGGGCAAAGAGACAGAAAACATGAAAAAAACTAACCTGATACTGTGTAGTATTTCCAGCAATAAGTATGTTCTCTGATTCTTTATGCAGTTTAATTCAGTATCTGTGACTATTTCCTTCTCCCTGAGGTCTTTCTGGCTGCACAGATCCCACAGAGGAGACACAATCTCAGTTTTCAGGCAGCATTTGCTTTTAATTATTCCAGGATAGCCCGGCAGTGTAGCTGGCACAGGAGCCAGGTGGATGGAGACCTACCCTGTTGTAAAGGAAACCTCACTGCAGACTGCTCCTTGCTGCCTGCCCAGAGCTGGAGGGAGGCAGCTCCCAGGGGGAACAACAGGAAAACAAAGCATCAACCAAGCAGTTTGTCACACGCTTCCACTGTGCAAGCCTTTGACACTGCTGACAAAATAGTCCTTCATAGCCATGGAAAATACCTGGCTTAATGCTGATTGTGTCAGGGCTAAACAGCACAAAAAGTAAGCCAGAGGAGATGAACAATTAGTTTTTCTCTAATCCAGCCCTCACCCATTTGCTGTCTTCTTTTGCTCAGTTTCTGCATGGAGTCATGAGCAGTGGAGCTCAACCCAATTACAGCAGCATGCAGAGAACTCAGAGCAGGGGAGAGCTCTGGGACCCCTGTGAGTGCAGGCTCCCCTTCCTCCAGTTTGACTTCTTCCTGACTGCCCCAAGCCCCTCAGCTCCAGTGGAGAGGTTTTTATGCTACCCCACAGCTCAGTTGTGTTTGTTTACAGAGCAATCCCACCCATCAGGGAGTTGAGGAGAGGAAGCAAGTTTCCAAGCTGGTGTTTGGAGATATGGCTGTGATGTGCCAGAGGGCAAGGAATGTGAGCCATGCAACTGAGGGTGGCACATCATGCCATGCAACCCAGCCCCTTGTCATTTCCATTTACAGCCCCAAGTCATGAAAATGTATCTGTTTCAGACTACACCTGCTCTTTTGAGTCTTTGCTTGCCAGAGCAAGTATAACTTTGGGCACAGCAGTAATCCTATTCACTGCATTTCCCTGCTGAGTGAGACTCCCCAGTTAGGGTACTTGCATCACAGTCTCTGTCACTTGGCTGAACGAAAGGACTCTTGACTTGTCCTCTGTCTGAAACAGAGCCAGAAAGCTCCTGCAAGCGTGCCTAGTTTTGGTGTGGAAAAGAATGGTAATGCAATTGCAGTCTGGCAGATGAAATGTCCCAGGAAGACCCAGGATATTTGCAGGATGTCCTGATCCATTCCTTAGAGCTAAAAATTAACTTGGATCCCCAGAGAATTAACAACTTTCAGGCTGCACCTGTGCTATGAGCCTTTCCTTGCCAGGGCAAGCAAAACTTTGGGCACAGGGGTAATCCCACTCACTGCATTTCCCTGCATAAACCACTCACAGCAGCCCAGTGAACTCTCCTTCTTTCTTTGGGAATGGAGGAACAAACTTCCTGCTCCCAGGTTCACAGGTGGGGCAGAGTGACACAAGCCAGGGGCTGTGGCAGATTTTCACAGCTGGCCTGAGGAGCCCTGCTGCTGAAAGGAGCCATTGGGGACTGGAGCACAGAGCCATAACAATGGAAGGACGCTGGAGATGTGGTTGCCAATATCCTGGCTGGCCCAGATGATGGCACAGGATGCACAGACATGTGCACATAGGATGGTGGCACCAGCTAACATACCTGGGAAATGCAGGAGAGGGGCACACAAGATCCCTCTGTGTCCAGAGCATTCACAGGTAGCACCATAGCACCTACATGCATGCAAAGGGTGGATGTTGGGGTGGGAGGAGAGGAGACACAACCTCCTGCCACAGGCTCCTTGCTCTCTCAGGCCTTCCTGTACACACTGGGCATTGCACTGGGCTGTCAGGGAGAGAGAGGATGGGGATATCCCTCTCAGCCCAGTGTCACAGCTTCATACAGCACTTTGGTGGCTGGTCATCCCCATGACAGTGCAGGAAGCCTATAAACGTGGGATTTTGTGCCAGACCCACATTATATGGCTTGGGTTCAGGAAGCAAAGGTGGTGCAATGGGCCCATTTATCTGGCAGGTTCATTGTTCCTTCTCAGAGACATGCAGGGTGGAAAAGAGCTGAGGGATGCTTCACAGCTCTCATTGGGAAACAGTTGAGAAAGAGAGCCTGTCCAAGGGCTCTGCAGTGCAATGAACAAGTGCAAGTAGCTTCACAGACTATCCCATCTCCGCCCATGACAGAGGAGCAGGAGGTCAGGCAGATCAGGAGTGGCTGATTTGGTAAGTCTGGCAGCACCTCTGCATGCAGAGCTGCAGAATGTTCTAGCTTGACACGGGACTTGAACCAACCTCTTTAATAAAGACTTTTAATTTCAGTGTGGTGCATCTGGAATGGATGTAGGGATGGATGTTCTCCATCTCCCAAACAGACACAGAAGGGGTGTGCATTTAGCAAGGATAAAGACGTTCAGTCTCTGAGGCTCACTGAGCCCTTGGTCCCTCTGCGCAGAGCTTCAGCAAGCTCACCTCCTAGCATCAAGAGTGGGTGCTGGGAAGAGCTCAGCTGAAGCAACAATTTGTATTGAAACCCCATTTATCTTCCCCAAAATACCCCGTGGACTTAGACAGACTGTTTTAGATTTAACCTAGGGAGTAGGAGTACAAGGTTCTGTATCCCTTTGCAAAACCTGGTACCTTTCCTACTCAAGATCCTGTCAAGGTGCCAGGCAGCTCAAACTCAAGTGATTAAATAAGGGATATTTCATTTGAGTGGTTAGTCAGTCTTGGCCACAGGAAGGAGCAAAGTCCTTGGCTGGCTGAAGAGCTGTGAGCACATGGAAAGCCCAGCCAAACAAATCTTGACTAAGAAGCAAAGGGGCAGAATGGTGAGTGATGAGTAC